GTAAAAATATTAAATTATATTAAATTATATTAAAAAATCATAAAAATATATTAAGACATTAAAAAGTATATTAAAGTCAATAAATAAATATATTATTAATTTTAATATATAAAAAAATTATAAATATTTAACATCGAATTTAAATTGTCATTTCTAAGAAGAAGAATCTTGATAGAATGGGATGAAGTGCATTGAAAGAGTGTTACATAAAGTTGATTCTAGAAAAAAAAAATAGGTTATTGTAGATTTAAACTAATATGCTTTATTGATTGTCCTTGAGATTTGTTTGTTTTTATTACAAATTCAAGACGGATTAGAAATTTCTTTCTCTTTAGAATAAAAAAAAGTTCTTTTTTTTGTAGAAGTTAATGTAATCTGCAAAGTAAACTCCAACTTTTCAATAAGTTTTTCTTTAAGAATTCTTAATAAAATTTAAGATAAACTTTCAAGTTATGAGTTTTATTAGTTCTACTTCATTACTAATGAAGTTCCACTTGTTTTTGGCAAACTTGCATCATATAGTACAACATGCCTTTGAACAAATGTCACATATATTAAAGCCAAAAATAATTAAATAAAATAAATTTAATAAAAATTAAACAATGTCATACATATCAAGACATATGCATCTTCTTCACATGTATTTGTTTTATGGGTAGGCATTTGCACTACTCTTTCATTCTATTGTCTAAAGGTTTTGACAAACCAACTCTAATATGAGAGGTGGAGGATGTAAACACCACAAAATTACCTTGCCAAGCATAGTTGCAAGAATTGATGGTTCTTAATAGGCTTTTGGTTATGATGCCTTTTGTTATATCTTAAGCTATATAATGTATTCTTTTTCTTATCAAAATGTACTAGTGATGTAACATTGAGTATTTTCATAAAAACCACATTTGTTGAGGTAGATACATCAAAGAATTTTAATATGGCCAAAATTTCTTTTGATATTTTCATAATATATATATATATATATATATATATATGAATAAATATAAATTAACATACTTAATCAATCCATAAAATAAGAAATAATAAAATATATTAATCTTATATATATGAATAAAAGAGAGACTAAGAAGAAGAAGGTATAACTCATTTAACCTACATAGTGTATGTCAAAACACACAAAAGTTGGGTCAAAATTAGAAGCTTTTGTATGTATTAAAAAAATCAACATAAACATGTTATAAAAAGAAGTTGAATTTGTTGACTTCCTCTTCCTTGATTTTGGTTGTTATAGCATTAACTTCATCAGTCAGAGCTGCAGACTTATATAATTAAATAATCAAGCTCATTAAAAAAATACACATTCCTCTAAACAACAATCTTAATTTTATGTAGAAACACAGGCTTCATTTTTAATAATAATTTAGGGCATCTTTATTCAACTTATATTTTAGTACATTATAATATAATTCATGCATAAATATGAATTAATATGCTTTATTAATCCTTAAAGCAAGGAATAATTATAAAAATAAAATAAAATCTTTAATATTGAGATGCCAATTGGTAACCATTTAATACTTATTCAAATCATTTGATCATTAAAATGACAACTTTGAACCACCTCTATCAATAGCAAAAGTTAAATAAAAGATAGTGCACTTGAATCTTGATCCATCTTTATGCTAATGGTCCTCAATGAGGTCATCTAATTTTTTAATTAACTCCTTTAGCTGATTCATATATGATATTTATTCAATAGAGGGTGCAAACCTTATTCAAATCTTGAGACCAATACTATAGAAACTATGGTAAAGCAAAGCTTTTGATTTACACTTGGGAGTATAGATGGATGAACACTTTCCAAACTTCACACAGAGATTGAACTACAAGTATAAGAAAATAAATAAACAAACATAACATAAAAATAAGTCACAACATCATGGCTTTTCATTTACCATTGTGAAAAATTTGGAGGCTTGATTTGAAGAAACATAGTTTAAAAATTGAATGGATAAAAAAAGTTGAAGCAAACATCTCTCAATGCACTTAAGATTTTTGTAGAGAAGAAAAAAAACTACTTCAATATTCTATATTTTTGAGCACATGAATAAAACATAGACATTTTATTCTTAGATGAGCATGAAGGAGGTGCATGCGAAATACAAATGTTGACTAATGCAAATTTGTTCTATAGAAGAAAAAAATTGATAGTTTTTTAACTATTAGATTTTATATATGAAATCATCTATAGCTTTGCCACTATCTAAAACACAAAATGAATGTATAATATCAAAAAAGTAGTTGCAACACATAAATGATTGAATGAGTTGAAAATATCAAATATGATAAGCTTGTTGATGTGTGGTAGAAATTTAAAAATTCCATGGCACGGAAGTCCTATTGATAGGTTTTGAAAAATACTCTCAAATTGGAAAAATATTTTCTTACTGCTTACAAGTCATTTGTAAAAAACATCCTACAAATTCCTACACACCTACAAAAAAAATATAGCTTTCAATATCTAAAAAATAGTAAAAACAATGAAACCTTATACTCTCATATACATAAAGTATTGATCCACAGATGGATTCAAAATTTGGTATTTTAGTACTATATTATAATAAAATGACTACTAAAGCGCCATTGTTCACAAGACTAATAGTCTTTTAATCTCGTAGCCTTTACAAATTTCCTCAAATTATTGCAAAATTGTATGTATCCTTCCTAGATTAATTTTGTCAATTTGCACATTATACAAAATTCTTTTGATCTCTTCTAATTCCTCTAACAACATTTTTTCTTCTTTACTATGATATAAAGTCTTACAAAGGTGGACTCTCTTCTTTTAATAGATCTCTAAATTCCCTCCTCATCTATAAGCTTGAGGTTAAAATTTCATGTTTTGTTAAATTCCTATGAACTATAACAAAGGAAAATGCATGCACCCAAAATCACCATTTTGTCCATGCAAGACATTGCTAAATCCATTCACGTTCAATTAAACTTTTTTTCAAACTCCAAACAATGTTAAGTTTTTTGATGAAAATCAAGATGGATACATGTGGTGAATGAGAGCCACCACTTGTCTCCTTGAGCGATCTTAATATATAGATACCTACAAATATATATATATATATATATATATACACACACACATTATAAGAGAATATCAACAAGTTACATATCTCACTTACTTTTTCTATTTCTTTTTTTATTTCCTTTTGAATCATTAAATTCCACGCACCAAAAAAGATTCTGAAGGTGACATGTTCATGAGGTAGTTGGAAAAGTCGGAAAAAGTATAAAAAAAAAAGAAAAAAGAAAAGAAAAAAGAAAAGAAAAGATACTCCCGACAAAGCAAAAGTGGAAGTGAGTGATTCGGGAGCTACATCCGAGGCCGAATGCCCGCAAATCAGAGGAAGAGACAAGAAGGGAAGGAAAGAAGAAAGCAAGGGCGAGGAAGGAAAGTTTGATTGATTTCTTTTGTGGGTTCAGCAGTGAAATGAAGAAGTGGAATGGGAGTGAAGAAGTGGAATGGGATCACACACAGACACAAACAGACACACAAAACTCATGCAACTGACAAGCCATGGCGGATCATTTAGTGTGCTGATTGAGATCCACGCGAAAACTTTCTTTCTGATTGCTTTCGGAAAACGGACGGACAGACAGACAGACAAAGACAGCAGGACATGGCTGCAGTTATCCCACTTGCCAGAGAAATGCCCATTTTCCTCATCACTCCGCATCTCAGCAAAGTGCATGCTACGGTGCGGAAAAAGGTTCCCTCTGCTGCTGCTTTCATGGATATAGTTATTTGCAATGTGGCCCATCGTCACGACGAGTGCGGCAATCTTCTTCGTCCTCGAAGGTGAGCCTGTGGACACGGACGAACCGCATTAAGGTGCGGTGCTGTGATGTGCTTCGGGACCAATCATCCCCCAGCGTCCACTTGCGTGTGTTTACACTTGCTCGCTTTCTAAAGTTTGAGCTTTAGTCGAGGAGAAGGCCGAGAATGGGACGAACACGCTCTCATATGATATTATTGCCTTGCTCCTTGAGTGGAGTGAGCTTTTAAGGCTGTGCAGAACCGTAGCTTCTGGCACTGGAAATACTTTTTTCACTCTGCAGCTGAACAATTGCTCATAACTGAGTTCGCATATGCGACGTTAATTGTTGTCAGGAGGCGGCTCAGCTACTGCCAGTCAAACTTGTCCCCATTCTGCTTGTAGTTAATAGTGTTGATGATTACTGTAGGAAAAAATAGGAGAAGAAATTCTTAGTATTCCATGCAGAAAAGCTGTACATTCCTTTACCAAGCTGCGATAACCCTGCCTGAAAAAGAAAAAAAAGAAAAAAAAAGTAGGCAGAAACCTGTTCTCACTTTAGGAAGAATTTGTTACTTCTCAAGTGTTGGGAAAAATAAGTAGAAGAAACGATCAGTCCATAATATTGTTTCGCAATCCTGTTATACAACAAAAGATTTCCAATTTGATTCGCAAAAATTTGGAACAGTTCGGTACATGGATACCAGTGCCAGTCCAAGCATAGCATTGTAGTGAAGGACAACACGTGGCCAGCAGAGTACTTTAAAGGACAACTCGCCAAGACTGAGCACCAATCCAGCTTCTACACAAATCTGGGGATTGATTGGCATAGGGAAGCACAACCCATAATCTGTAAGAATCACACGAGTTCTACCATACCGGCGATGAGACCATGACATCACCGCCAGATTTGTCACTGACCAACTGATCTCATGACGTGGAGGCTCCTTTATCAGGTTTAATGACTCCCTGACTCACACACACACACACACACACATATGTATTTTAAATATGAATATATATGTGTCCAATGTGTGTGAGCGCGCATGCGTTCGGCATAACCTCAATCGCAAAAGGCACTTAGTGATATCTGTGGTGGACCCTTAAGGTTGGTCACAGAACAATTGCTCCCAACCTGTGGCGTCATCGTCCTTCATGGGAACATTCTGTTCGCTTCCACTACCTTCATATCCTACATGCAAAGTCGAGGGATTATCATTGAAGAGCACTCAAGGCCACCAACTTCATTTAGTTCGCCAGAAGGATAATGGAGTTGTGTCGCACAAGCACAAGCAGAAACTTTTGGGAAGGACAATGGTGATGCTATTTGGCGAGCACATCCCAGATGTTGCCTGCAGTTTCGGGGATGACACGGAGTCAAGGCTAACAAAGTTGTGTAGTAGTTGCGGCGAGAGTCGGAAGACTTGGGGTGCTTTCCGGGGCTTCACCCATGATGAAGTTGCAATGACGAATCAGGCAGCAGCTGTAGTGTATTGTGGTACTCTTTCGTTTACCTCAGGAGCTTCTTGCTATGTACATTGTGACAACTAAGTATTGGAAAGGAAGGAAATCGTGAGCTGAGCCATATTGAGACGAAGATAGCAACGCACGCAGGTATGTTAATAACAGTTATATAGTCATGACTGTGAAAGTTTGGAGAGAATGCTTTGCGCTTTCCTGTGGACTTGCGTTTGAGCGGATCATTTCAGGGCTATCTTCCTGTGGCGGAGTTGACTCAAAACACGACTCACTAGGCATAACGCGAAACCATCTATTTAAACATTGAAACTGTATTGATGCTTGAAATGGGAGGAATGTGTGAGTTTCATCCTTCTGCATGGAAATGTGGCCTGCTCTCGTGACAATAACAGAGAAACTTAGAGTGCCCAGGTTCTTTCACTTGTGAAAAAACAATCAACTACGCAGTTTAAGATTGAAATGATTTTTTTTAGCAGGTTTTGGACAATACTCGCAGCGTTTTAAGTAGCAGCCATGGAGAAGAGCTTACATGACGAGTGTCATGAAGGTCTCTGCACGCACAAGAAAGTTTGTAGTGAGGTTCACAGAACTGTACAAGGAGGACCTCGATCTCTGCATGGCGAGGTCTCCGCAACAGTAACGTGGAGGGACTTAAACGTCACAGTGTCGAACCTCAAGGGAAAAAAACGCACCGTCTTGTTCAACGCTACCGGATTAGCTGAACCTGGGAAGCTCATGGCGATTATGGGTCCTTCTGGTTCAGGGAAAACAACGCTCCTTGACGCTCTCGCAGGTAAGGCTTGCCTTTCTGGTGGCATTCTCCTTTACTTTCCTTCCTGGAAGTTCTTAACTGGTCTAAAAACCTACGGCGCTTTGCATACAATAACCACATTATCAATATGGGTGAATACTGCTTAAAGAAATCATTTAAACAGTTCAAGTAATGCAAGGTCCCTACAGCATAGACATGTGATTTCTCCAAAAGAAAGAACTCGTCACTATATACATCTTGTAGCAGCCATGGGGAACAGATTACATGACGAGTGTCGTAATCTGCCCCTTCACTTCTCATTCATGAACCAGGTCGCTGGGCTCGTAATGCGACACATACTGGTGAAATTCTTCTGAACGGTCGGAAGCAACAGATGTCATATGGCACTGCGGTAAATTCTCATGCTTTTATCTGTGCAACGAGCTTGTGAAAGAGTACCACTGCTGTTTTGTGAATGTTGTGCAGCTGTATTCTGTTAAGTCCAGTAAACTGACATTGTGGACATTGTGTGCAGGCATACGTTACCCAGGACGACATTCTAACTGGAACATTGACTGTACGTGAGACAATTCAATACGCCGCACAGCTTCAGCTGCCAAGTTCCTTGTCGAAAGCAGACATGAATAATATCGTCGAACAAACTATTTTGGAAATGGGGCTTAGAACGTGTGCTGATACAAAAGTTGGCAACTGGCATTTGAAAGGGCTTAGTGGAGGTGAAAGACGACGACTGAGCATTGCGGTTGAGGTCTTGACTCGACCACGCTTAATGTATCTGGACGAGCCTACCAGTGGCCTTGATAGGTGTGTTTGGAACTCAAGCAACGCTCACAGTTTTATTTATTTTATGAAACGTATCCGGCTGTTTCAATTCCATGACCATTTAATGATATTTCATTCAATACATGTTAGGATGAGATTCCCTCAGAATTAACTTCTTTTTTTCTTTTCTAAATTTTGTGCAGTGCTGCGGCTTTTTTTGTCACAACAAAGCTTCGAAACTTGGCAAGAGATGGAAAGACGATCATAGCATCCATTCATCAACCCAGCAGCGAGGTGTTTAACTGCTTTGACACCCTTTTCCTGTTATCCGAAGGACGAACCATTTACTTTGGACCCGCGTCTAAAGCCTTGGAGGTGTGCACACTAACCAACTCATGGTCCATGGTCGTGAACTACATTCTGTGCTGATTTCTTCATTTTCATTAAAAGAGTTTGTAATGCCTGCGAAGTGGTCGTCTTAGTGTGCCAATACCCTGTACAGCTTCTACTTGCACAGCACTTCACACAGGAATCTTTTGGATTTCCCCAAAAAGGGGGTGTGTGTGAATGGCAGCCATAGTTGGACACTAACACACGAATTGTTGTCTTCAGTATTTCGAATCTGTGGGATTACCCTGTCCTCCGTTTCGAAGCCCCTCAGATCATTTCCTTCGGGCTATCAACCCAGAATTTGATGATCAAGAGCTTGACACTTCTCTGATCAAGGTATGCTCTAATTCAAACGTCGCTGTTTGTCCTAATAGATTGCTTTTTTAAGAGTATCCCCTATCCAAGTATGTCTGGATTTGATTTTCATGGGAACTTTGGAAGCAAGAATTGTGAAAAACTAGAATCTCTCGGCAAGCATCAACTTTGACGGCATACTGACCAGATACTTGGATGTGTTAAAAGGACATGGAAAGAGGTGGTGCCTTGGAGAATATGTCAACTGTTGAAGTTGTCAAGATACTCATCGATGCATACGTGTGTTCTGATGCTGCGTATGATGCGAATGTGAAGATTCAAAACTTGTCAAAAAATGTGAGTCCTCTTGCATCATCAATCTTCTTTTGAACATCGTTGCATCAGCTGAAATCATTTCTTCGCTTGATTGCGCCTCATGATCTGATGCCCGTTGTGTTACAGATGATATTACGGATATATTCTGGAAAACAAAGACCTTTCTCGTTTATACCCATTCACAATATTATGAGTTTGGAAGTTCATCATAGATATGGAGTGATTACCATTGTTCTGATGATTGACAAATGTTTGCAGGGTGGAAAACTATTGGATCAGAATGGTAGTCAAGCAAAATTCATTACCCAAACAAGTGCGCTGACACGCAGATCTTTCCGAAACATGCGTAGGGACTTAGGTTACTATTGGTTGCGTTTTATCATCTATATCGCGCTCGGTGTCAGTATTGGCAGTGTCTTTCGAAATGTTGGCACTTCATGGAACTCAATCCGAGTACGTTCTCATAACGCAGTATTGTAATTTGTGAATGCTTTGCAACTGACGTGGAACTCGTAGAAGTACAGAAATTCCATACAAGAAAACTATCTTAAATACATACAGTAGAATCTTTGTGTTCATATGTTCTAAGGAAACCATTCAATGGCAATTGTGTTTTGGCAGTCGAGAGCAGGTTCGATAACGTTCATGACTGGTTTCCTAACGTTCATGTCTATTGGAGGCTTCCCCTCTTTCGTAGAAGATCTCAAGGTAAGTGGTTACGATGACATATCAAGTTATCTGCGCATCTTCTTGTTCACGAAATTTGAATTGATAAACTTGAAAATCTTGACATCTTTGAAGTCGTTTTAAGACGTCATGCTCACTTCAAAAAGTTAAATGCGCAGGTGTTTAGTCGTGAGAGATTGAATGGTCATTATGGTGTGGGAGCGTTCGTGTTGGCTAACTCGATTTCTTCAGCGCCGTTCCTATTTTTTATTTCTTTGCCTACCTCCCTTGTAACCTACCTCTTAGTGGGATTACATCCTGGATTTGGTCATTTCTTTTATTTTCAAATATGTCTTTTCGCAAGTATGTGGGTAGTTGAGAGTGTTATGATGGCTATAGCAGCTCTCGTAAGTCCGAATTACCTCCTTGGCATCATCATCGGCGCTTCCGTACAGGTTAGCCTCTTCAATCCTGAGCTTCCCCATTCCATTATCCACCAAAATGATTCTTTGAAGTGCAGTTGAGAACTAAAATAACAATCCATTGTGCTAAGGTCTGTTGTTAGCAACCTAACCTCAGTTTCTGTCTGTGTAGGCTGTGTACTTCTTGTGCTCAGGGTTTGCACGCCTTCCATCAGACTACCCCAAGTTGATGTGGAAATACCCTATGTTCTACGTCAGCTTTCACACATATTTCCTGCAGGTGAGAACTTCTGCTCCCATTTTCCATGACCCAACAATCCATGACAGACAAACGAGAGAATAGGCACTATCAAATTAAAAGCGTAACAGGAGTCTTACTATACATCTTACAAATTGACTGCAACTCTGGAACTTCATCAGCGAATACAGCATAGTTTGTGATTAAAGTGGGATGTCAAACACTAGGGTATCACCTTGTTCAGGATCCGCTTATGAAGGTTTTAGTATGCTGCACTTCCACAAATCTTTTGAGGTTAACCTGGATACTGAGTTGGTTGCAGGGGATGTCTGAGAATGACTTTTTAGGACTCACATTCGAGAACTACCTCAAAGGCTGGCCACGCATTACGGGAGAGCAAGTGCTGACAGACATTTTGCAAGTCACGGTGAGCAGGAACAAGTGGTGGAACCTTGGCATCCTCTTCCTCATGGTCTTCGCTTACAGAGTCATCTTCTTCGCCACCGTCAAGTTCTCAGAGAGGCTACAACCATGGATCAACGGCGTGGTGCTGCCTCTGTTTCGACCAATGGAGCCCACCGTGACTTACCAAACCATTGCACCCGTGTCTGCAAGCCCTATCAACATCATGACTCCCATGAGGCCCCTCATCAACGGCAGACCCTCCTCATGAATGCCACTCCACATGATGTTTTCTTCTTCTACTTCTTCTTCTGTATTTTTTTTTAAAAACAATCCATGATGTCATTTCAGGAACTGGGCTGCTGCCAGGACCAAACATCATAACCCCGGCAATGGCTGTGAGGAACTCACAAATGATGAGACTAGGACTCCAGGAATTGATTCCACGACCAGGTGTGGAGCTGCTCTTAGAATTCATTCATACTATAGCTCAAGGAAAAATTGTGATGCCAATAAACATATTTTAGTTCTCTCCCATTTCACCCTTCTGAGACAGAGTTAGTTGGAATCCTGCGATTGTTCGAAGACGTTCAACGGGTTGCTAGTGTTGGTTATTTCTTTCAGACTTTGTGCACCTTGGTGTAGCTCTTCTATTTCTCTGTCTTATATTTATATATGTGTATGTGTTTATCAATGTTAACATGGTTACATCTCTTGAGGTCTTTGGAAACTAGGATTGGAAATAGAGTTCAAAATTTATGTAATTGGAATCTTTCCAGGTTGATGTAAATATGTGGGATGGTGCATTAATTGTCAAGTAAAATTTAATGGTGAGATTAAAAGTTCAATTACATTTGAATTTATTATTTTATTAATTTATAAGTTTCTTTTATATAAGGAAATGATAAAGCGATCTAAATTTTTATTAAATCAACTCACATGTATAAACCATCTTTGTTCCCAGCCCTATTCTCTCCACTCTTCTACTAGCTTTGTATTACCAAATAGACAGATCTAGTATGGCCTACATTGATCAACAAATCTAGTTTTTCTTCTTAAGGAAAAGGTCTTGTGACTAATGAAAAAGAAATTAATATTAAAATTCAAGAAATGCCTAGATAAGATAAGGACTCTAGTGAGTTACTCTCACATCTTGTAATTATAGCCTCAAACTTGATCTGCTCATAATGTTGTAATTTTCTCTATTGATCGATAGTCTTAAATTGTAGGCATTAATTTTATAAGCATTGTATAGTAGTTGGTGATGATGATTCAATAAATTATTCTACACGTAAAGCATAGCATCTTAAAATGTTTCCGCAAGTATGTCTAGAGCTTTATTATTACATAGACAGGATTTTTCCACTAGAATATGCTTCATCGCTTTGTTCAAGTCGCCATAGAGAGATAAGAGTAGCCAAAGAACATATTGAAGCTATTGATATTTACAAACCATGAAGTCTCAATGAAAGTGGCTTGGGAACAGCAAAATGGGAGCAATAATTGGGAATGGTGGAAATTGCTGGAAACAAGGAAGGGGACTGAAAGAGTACAATGATGATTAAAATAGGGTTGATTGCTTTAGTAAAAATTTGGGTTGCTTTAATATTTTCCTATTTATATATGTATATACATATATACACATATATACATTTACAGACATGTATACTCATACATAGATAAATGCAAACCAAGTATGTTCATTATTGAATATATTATATTATAATACTTTATTGTTCAAACATTTATCATAATTTATTAAATATTATTATTTATTAGAGAATGAGATGAAAAAAACTTATAAGTTTGATGTAGAAAAAACATCATTGTATCTATTGCTATTAAAAACATTGGATTCAAAACTTTAAATAAATAAATTCTAATGAAAATTTTCATATATCAAATTAAAAGAAATTATATATATATATATATATATATATATATATTTTGTTTATATGAAGTTTTTTATTTATTTTACTAAAAACTATATATTAAAAGAAAAATATTTTTATTCTTCAATGTCTTTATTGGATTATTAAAATATGTAAAAGGTACATGTTTATGTTGTAATATTTTTTTGCATAGTATTTTGTCTCACAATGATGAATAAGATGATTTTTTGTTTATATTTATTTTTAATAAGTTTTCTGAAACTAAAAATATCATCATTTTGAACCAACTCATTTATACAAAAATTTCTATTTTGATTTTCTATTTTCTATTTGAATGGTTATTTTCATATAAAAATCTACATTAGTTTTAGATAATGATTTATCTAATTGGGTATTTTAATTTTATTCTTATCTCTATAATTTCTTTTGTATCTTGTTAGGTTTTTTATTTTATCTTTGTAAATGAATTCAACAAATATAGAGATTTTGGCAACATAAATAAATAAATAAATAAACAATTCGGAGCCAAAAATCTAGACACAACTAAAATATTCAGCTTGAATCTTCTCAGCGTACAAGTATATTAAAGCATGTTCTACAATGCGATTATATTTTAGATAAAAGATATACAGTGATTGCCAAAAGTGAGAAAGAGATCATTAACTCTACCATTAGCCATTCATACTTTATAATTTGCTGCAATAATAGCTGAATCAATTAGTGATTCAAGTTCTATTCTAAATAACTAATGTGGCTATCAAATTACAAGTCTAGCAATGCAAGACAGATTGAAAAAGATATGGACCAAAATGAATTACCTCTAAAACTCAGTTATACTCACATTTGGATTATAATATGATGTAATCTAAGCTACAAATTTAACATGCATAAGTGGTTTTTTGAATATGATTGAGAGCATGGGCATGTTCTTGGCCTTCATATGTATAATTGTGTCTATCATTAGTGCACATCACCTATGCAAATTGAGCAAAATGGTTTCATTAGAGTATCTCTTTGTTGTTGATAGGAAGCTAGTTTAAGTGGGAGCTTTACAAAAGTTGAAGATGGGTGAGAATACTAGAAATATTGCTAGAAACTTACATATGTCTTGAATTTGGGTTGCACATTTTTGAAAGCAACATTTGATTGGTTTGAGAGATGTGAATCATATTTTTGGTGGCAAGCCAAGGATGTACAAGCTCACATGTTAAATTAAGATAAGATTAGAATTTGTAAAACATCATTATCATTAGATTGATGATAATTGGAATTGTGTAATATTCTTTGATGAAACAAAAGTCAATTGCTTTTGCTCCCATGGTTGCAGTTGGTATTGGTCTTATGACAAGCAAAGTATAAATATTGGAATTGTACAACAAATAATTACATTTGGAGGTAGGAGAGTGATGATATGGAGTTGTATGACTCCAAATGCCCTTGATATGATGTGTAGGATTGAGGGAAGAATAGATCAATACATGTTCAAAGAGATTTTAGAGCAAGAATTAATTTATACAATGCATGCATACAATTTAAATCCTACAAGTTTGATTTTTCAACAAGATAATGACTCCAATCATGCATCCAAGAGTTTGCATCGTTGGATCAATTTGCAAGGATTTACTCTTTTGTAGTGGCCAATGCAATCTCTAGACTTGAATCCAATTGAGCACTTGTAAACAACTTTAAAACATCAATTGAACCAATATGAAATACCTCCCAAAGGAATGCTAGAATTATGGGAGCATATTGAGTATTGTTGGGCTTCAATTACTCTTAATGAGTGTAAGAACTTGTATAGAAGCATACATAAGCACATTAGAGTTGTGATAGTTGCAGTAAATATTACTTCCATGATGATTGAAGGCTATTACACACATGTATGCTACACACATGTATGCATATACAAGAATTAAAAAGAAAAATTAAAAAGAAGTTAGGTTCAGAACTCAGCTTTGCTCACACTAGTTGAAACAAATTTAAATTTAGCGACTATCACAACTCTAAAATGATGGTAATCTTGTGCAATTTATGGTTTTATTTTTGTTGCATCCAATTTACCTACATTGTCTGTTGAATTTGACCAAGCTGATTTCATACTCAGTTTTGGCAGTCACTGTAGATTTCATTTGTACTAGAGAAAGGAATCAATGCTGTAATTGAGACCAGCTTTGCCTTAGACACTAGGAATATCTACCTAAAAACCAAGTCTCCTCTATATCAGGGTAACTCAAGAAAGTGACTTAATCTCTGTGGAGTCGAATTTTATGCCTCCATAGCCAATCCGGAGACATTACATTACTTGTTCTCGTAAATTAGCAAGCTTGGTATAGCCAGACCGAGTTCGTGTTCAGATGCTACCCTTTGAAGCAATTATACCACAGCCATGGTCTTTACAATAGAGTCCGCTCATGTCGCACATAGCAAAAAAATACCGGCTTGTGATGGCGAAAATTCCACTTGGGATAGGTTAAAAAGAGTGCATGTCAGCCACCGCTAAGAGTTGAAAAGGTTGGCGACCGACCCAAAGGGAGCAACACGTCGCGAAAAACATCGTATTCCGATTCACTAGTTCCAGTAGAGTCTAGCACCTGTACAGGTAAAAGATATTACAAGCCTATATAGAACATTGCAACAATACACCTACATCCAACAGTTGTGGGTACAGTAAGCCATGATAACCGTAACAAAAAAAATTCAAAAGCTTTTTCAAACCACCTGGTTGCATAAGAATACGCACAAACTGATTGCTGAGAGGGTTGTGAGATGATACCTTACGCAGCACAGAGCGGTTGTTCATTAAGTGCACTCCCAACCGTGGTAACCGCTGAACAGACAGGGCATCCAACAGAACAATCACCAGCATACGCCACTGTTTTGTTGAGAGTGGAGGCAATGCTTCGACAAAGCTCATATTCTTGATTAACTTACCCTGCATTGTTGCATACAAATAATCAGTTCTTTGAAACAATAGTATGGTAATCCAACTAGCTTTGAATAAAAACAACCCAGATGTCCACCCAAGTTCAGATGCTTAGAGGCAATATTTCGACATGTCTAACATATAAAACAAGTAACATAAGTGCATGGTGAGGAAGCGAAGTTTACTTTACCATTGCCACTTCCAATGTAGACATAGGAACAGGCAGACGGAGGGCACGGACAACTTCAGGAAGTGCTCGTGAAACACAAAGCGAGAAGGTACGCAAGATTTCAGAAGAAACACCATCACCAATGACAACTTGTCGAGAATACTCCCTCCCATTCACGGACAGGTATTGGTCCTCTTCCTGAGGCTCTTTGCCATATATGTGAGCCAGCGCAGCACCCGAGGTCCAACTCTCTAATGCCATAAATATTGTCCCAAACAAAGATACCTAACATACAATTCAAAAAAAAAAAAAAAAAAACAAAAGAAAACAAATTACTAAATCGAAGTGTTTCACAAGAAGAGCCATTCACATCAAGGATTGAAGCATATAGATGCGGTCAACGCTACAGCACGGTAATAAGTAAGCAAATCAACAATAACGTCGACAAAGATCCTTCAAGGCTTTAACAATGTTTGAGCAGAAAAGAGCATACGCCAAAGTATAATTGATTCAATTTCAAACGGTTCATGTGTCTCTAGTTCATTATTTCCCATCGCGAATAAAAGATAGACGAAGTACCAACCTCAGCTTTGAATCCTTTCGGAGGTGCCATAAATCCAACCTCACTTGCACCTTCGAAACCTCCACTTGTATCATCGTCATCGTCGTCGTCGTCGTCGTCAGCATCACCATCGTCGTCGAAATTGGCATCGACCTCCAAATCAAGGTCGTCAATGAGATCGTCGTTTTCATGTTCTTCGACACTTTCGACTTCATGCTTCCTTGGCATTTTCAATCGCCTAATTTCTTCTCGGGCTTGTACAGCTCTTTCATAGAGCTCATCTTCATCAACTGCACAGTTCTTCATGGAATCAGGAATCTCTCCTGAGCGATCTTGCGCTTCATGTGGACTTCCTGCCCTTGCAGGAATAGCATTGTGGGTAGCTGAAAGAATGGATAATCCGGCTTGAGCAACTGCAATAAATAAGCGTACGACCATCAGAATCCGTTCCAATCGCGTCCCGTTCCAATAAACCCCAAAAAGGAACTGTCAATAATGTTACTTGAAGCATGTCCAATATGTGAGGCAACGAAACATTATCCAGACTTACCAGCATCACTACCATCGACCTCTCCAGTAGCAGCAGAAGTCGCTGCTTCAGTTAGTGCATTGGCTATAGCTTCAGCTGATGCCAATCTAGCGGCCATGACTGTATCCAAATTAGACTCTACCAATTTTGTTTGTGGTAGCTCCTTTTCCTCCAATTGCATAGATTTTATTTTGTCCTCCAATCCCTTTACATCCTCAAAACCCTGCAGCAGAAAGGTAAACAACAGGTAGTTTAAGGCAAGGCCAGTCTCATGCATCGAGGTATGCCTCGTTTAGACCACCCTTCGTAAACTTCACTAAAAGTTAATGTCGCACTGATTTTGAATGACAGAGTCTAATAGCATGAATTTTGAAGCCAGAAAACGCTCAATATCTCAACCATCCAAGGTGATCTTTAAAGCCATAAAAATGTCAGCAAACACAATACACACAAATAAAAGTACAAACTGGCTCAAAAAAATTAAATAGAAAGCTAACTTACATCCTCAGTGATCAGCGCTTTGTCAACTTTTGTACTGGAAGATCTCCCTTTAGAATCTGTTATTCCGGTATCAAAGGCCGTTTTATCTTGATCTGCCCACACAACATTACGGATACCCTTTTTCACCTTAGCCTGCTTCTTCAAAGCTGGCTTCAAATTGCTAGGTTTTCCCTGAATGCCTGAAAGAACAACAGAAAGGCGTAACAGTGACTTGAAAATTCCTGACAGTGCAAATATTTTTCATATATCCAAGCTAAACATTTTTCATTTTAGTGGTGTACGCGGGAAAAATAAATGAATCAAATCTGCAGAGGTGAAGGCAGTGAGAAACCACAAATCTCCACTGATATTTAAATCTTACTGTAGCCATGTGATCGACATATATGTGGATTTTACCAACAATCCAAGGAAGACAAGCACGAGAAAGCATTCGAGATAACTAGTATTAGTTCCAATGTTGATTTCCTGTGACCATCACACGATAGAAAAAGAAATCCACTAAGCTACGAAGATCCAAGACAAAAGCAGGCCTAAAAGCTGTACGAGGAGATGAGCACTGTGTCACCAATTCCAGTAAGTACCATTATTTCTTGTGTTGCCGCTGGTAGATGCAGCAGAAGCTGCGGCACTAGACTCAGCAGCGGACTTAGCGGTACCACCGTCCATCTCTGTGATGCACATCTTGGCTGGGCCAATTTCGGAGCTTCCAGATAGCAGACCTTCCCACTCTTTAAAAACTTTTGCTTCGTTCTGATGGCCACTAGATGACCTTTCAGAGCTCAAAACCTTGTCTCGTAATGTTGTGCGAGGCTCTTTTCCTGAAGTATTCCTTTCCACACTAATCCTCTTTCGTTGTTCTTCCTGTTCCCTTCTAGAAGTTGCACCTGTTCAGTTACCAAATGCAGAATGAGAAGTACAAAACATAGCCTGAACAACATATACACACGACATGCCTAGGATCGATTCCAGATTTAGCGGAGGTATTCATAGAGGAGATAGAATTGCAACAAAGGAATGTTGATAGATGCTAGTCATTTAAGTGGGGGATCACACGATAAAATAAGACAATGGACCCAATCCTGTTGAACAAGACACAAACTCAATGAACGCAAATCATAAGAAGAGACATAGGGAATCATAGACTTCACCACTCGAATTTCCGTCCTTCGAGACCTCAGTTTTCGTTTTCGATTCCGCAGACGAAACTACCTTGTTACGGGACCTTAAGGGCACATAACCTTCAATAGCGTCGGATGCACCTCCATAGTCGAAAATAGGTAAATTTGGCTGATCTCCAACACGTTCCTGAATACTTAATTTCCCGAACTTCGTTTCCACTTTGCTTGAGATATCAGAAGACTGAAGGGAATCTTTTTCAAGATGCTTCTTCGGGGTATTCGTAGATCTTTCAACAATTTCTTTTGCATCTTTGCCGTTGAAATTTGATGTCGAAGGCACGATCAGGACACTATGATAAGAAGGGTTCAGCTCTGAAGCTAAGTTATTGTTCTGATTCAGTTCAGATACAATCAGGGTGTCCTTCGCATTAAAACCAGAACTTACGGACGGAAAGTCAATAGGATTATCGCTTGTCAGAATTTTGTCTGCAGGAACTCCGGAGGGTTTAGAACTCGAGATAATTATCTCCGAGTGTCCACGCCCTTCAACTGTAGAATCGATAAGGTCAGAGCTCGCAGGTGCAGCCTTCCGAGTTTCTTTAGAGCGCAACTTCCCACGCTTCACATTCCTAGGTCGAGCTGAAGGTTTTATAACGTTATCCTCCTTCAGTCTCGTAGGCTTCGACCTGGCCGTATATTGCGATCCCCTAACCGAACTTAAAATTTCCTCAAGCATTTTGGCTGACTCGAGAAGATCTTGACGGAAAGGTAACTTGTTCCCGAAATCCTTGCTAGTAATCAAACAGGACGGAGAGCAAAAGTGGCGAGATTCTTCAAGATCGTAAACCTTCTTCGCAGAGAGAGAAATTCTGTAACGACCTTTCCTCATATTCTCAGTATCAAGTGAATTAGCACACCGCGTGTAACCACAAACTTTGGCAATAAACCTCTCTTCAACAACATCACTATACTCAGACTGCGAAAGAATTTTGCCAGCTGCTTGGAGCTGCTCGTCCGTATTCACCCCATCCAGCAAAATTAACTGAACCTCCAGCACTGCCTTCTTCATAATCTTCATGGTCCGCTCAAAATTCCTCGCTTTCGCCGCCCCCGCGGCAGAAAGAGCAGCTTTGACATCGTCAGACGCCATCTAAAAACGTGAAACCTCAAAATATATTCTCCTCCGACGTCGCAGATATTACAACCTTTCAAAAATATCCTCTAACCGAAACTATTCTTCACCTCAAACGGATCTATTATAATCCCCCGCTTCGCAGAATAAAATGCTTGGACTTCCACGCGACTCTGCATTCAGCGTCACAGCGATACCACCGCCATCACTTCTTCCAATCTCAATCCACTCCAACTTCACACCTCTACATCACACACTCCCGCCACCTCCTCCTCCAATTCCTTCACTCCCACTTCCGCCCCTAAAACCCACTCACTACCCCCTACAATTCCCTCCCTCCAATTTTCCATCCAACTCACCACCTTCGCCCTCCCTTACCCAAAAAATCACTCACTCCTCCTACACCACCGCTCTCTCCACCTCCGCCCTCTTCAACACAACACCATCTGCACCTCCCATTTCTCACACAACCATCACCATGCACCCACTCCTCCCTCCACGCACAATGTCCGCTCGCGCTCCGCGAAATCCTAACACCCCTTCCATACGCTACTCCAACTCTCAAAACCACCACTCACGCAATTAGGTCAACACCTAGCTCCCCAAAACTCCCTCCAATTGCGTCGCAACCAACTGCCACCACCACTGCTCTCAAACCCAAACCTCACCAAAATCAACGCTCGCTCACTGTCACGCCTCAAATCCAACCAATTCCTCACCAATTCGAGCAACAACACTGCTCCGAATTGGATTCAGCAGCACGGACTGTGCGCTCAAACCCTAGGTTCTCGGTCTCGAAGCTTCGATTGCACTTCGAGGGAGTAATCGAATGGATGAATGTGGTATGTATATCGTGGTTTCAGTGCCTAGAGCTGGAGTTTCGTCGGTCTCTCGAGGATGAATGAACTATTCTGCGTGATGAACACTCAGTAAAAGAGCATCCATCCCGCAGACAAAACTCGGATTCGTTCATCCCTCCCATTTTTCATCCAACCAAACACTTTGAAAGTCTCCTTGTGGTCAACAATGACTTTAATACTTCCTAAGATGGGACATATAAAAGATTTTGATATTACCTTCGACAAGATATTTTACCTTGCATTACAGGCACCATGCAACAAAAATATTTTTTATGGACTGCTTAATTTGAATTGATTCATTGCCACCAACAAACTCCACAGAGTGACTTGAAAAGGTTGTTATTGACATTAAAGGGTAGATTAAAATTCTCTCATTTCAGAAGCTCTTGATTTGTGTACATTGCTTGAAGCTAAATGAAATATACTCTTTAAATAAATATTAAATATTAATTCAACTGTACTTATTGCATTTGATTTTGTTTTTACATCTGCAAACCATGAATACCTGCCTAGAAATTGGCATTTGGACATCCTTGCCAAAACGTAATTAATACTTAAGTCTATGTTTTAAATTTACATATCTATGTATACATATATATACTCCAATTAGTCACAAGCGGTCACAACGGTATTTGTCTGCATTTAAACGACGCAAACGTGTTCCGAAGACAGTGAACTGGACATGAATGCCATCAAGACCCAGTGACCGATAACCTCGGTAGCATCGCGAGTCCCTGACAAGTGCCCACTTTGTCTGCACTAAGTGCTGTGCTGGTGTGGCGATGATGGTTGCGAAGAGACCGGACGGACCGGTATTGGTGGCTGCAGCCGTTAGTTCCATGATAAGGAGGAGGGCAAGGGCGAGGAAAAAAAGTAAACAAACAGGATGAACGACGGTGGAAAAGAGAATGGTGGAGAATACTACTTACTAACTACTACCACCATGATGAGTGAGAGAGTGAGTGAGTGAGTTAAATAAAGGATGGGTCCTCCAGGCAGGCAGGGAGGGTTACAATGTTGTTCACGTTCAGGAGAAGTGGGTAATTGGGACACTTTTGCGTATAACGGCGAAGCAAGGGAAGGGCAGAACAGGAGAAGAGGGCCTTCTCACCCTGTGTGTCATTACTAGGGTAAGGTAGGGGTTGCGTACTTGTGGTTCGTCGTCTCCGCTGCTTCGCTCCTTGCCCCCCCCCCCCCCCTGATGCTTGAATCGCTCTCGGATTTTTGCAGTAATCGCGAAGACGTTGCGTTGAAGCATCGCACCTCTGTGTAGGTCGCGCTGTGTCCTCCGAGTCGAACGTCGAAGCGTTGGATTCGGTGGCGAGGTGCGCCCAGGCTGGACTGAAATGTGGAAGGGGGTGTGGATCAACTCTCGTCGACGGCCATGTTAGAGAATTGGATCTGCGTTTGTGGGAATCAGTGAATTGTGGTGAGGATGGCGCCGAGCGTGATCTCTTTTATATTGTTTTGATCTGTGTCGAGTGCAATTCGTTGTTTGGCTCTGGAAATGGCACTTGTGTGGTAGTCGCGGAATTCATCGGACGTCGCCGCTGGTGGTGGGCGTGGTGGAGGTTGTCGGGAAGAGTTGGCATGGGGTCCTGCTCGTTCAGGGTCGCAGGTTGGAGCGGAGTCGGGAGGCCGTGTTGGTGCGGGTTGGCGTGAATGGGAGGGAACCCTAGGGTGGTGGGTGGGGTGAGTCGGAGGGAGGGTTTAAGTGAGGAATTGGTTGGATTTGAGGCGTGACAGTGAGCGAGCGTTGATTTTGGTGAGGTTTGGGTTTGAGAGCAGTGGTGGTGGCAGTTGGTTGCGACGCAATTGGAGGGAGTTTTGGGGAGCTAGGTGTTGACCTAATTGCGTGAGTGGTGGTTTTGAGAGTTGGAGTAGCGTATGGAAGGGGTGTTAGGATTTCGCGGAGCGCGAGCGGACATTGTGCGTGGAGGGAGGAGTGGGTGCATGGTGATGGTTGTGTGAGAAATGGGAGGTGCAGATGGTGTTGTGTTGAAGAGGGCGGAGGTGGAGAGAGCGGTGGTGTAGGAGGAGTGAGTGATTTTTTGGGTAAGGGAGGGCGAAGGTGGTGAGTTGGATGGAAAATTGGAGGGAGGGAATTGGAGGGGGTAGTGAGTGGGTTTTAGGGGCGGAAGTGGGAGGTATGAAGTGGGAGTGAAGGAATTGGAGGAGGAGGTGGCGGGAGTGTGTGAGGTAGAGGTGTGAAGTTGGAGTGGATTGAGATTGGAAGAAGTGATGGCGGTGGTATCGCTGTGACGCTGAATGCAGAGTCGCGTGGAAGTCCAAGCATTTTTTTGGTTATGCATGAACTGTTGTTAGGATCATTTCAATCTTGATTGTATTGATTCCTGAAATTCAGGTTTCTATGATACCCTGTTATACTCTTAACGAAACTCTAACTTAATCAGTAGAGTTTCCTTCAATTGTACAACTATTATTGTCACTCCTTTGCACGTGTTTTTCGTTTCCTTATTTCTATACTCGTCAACTTGACGTATTAGTTTTCTGTTGCATTGTTCCTTGTATATAATGATCATCACCGGTGTTGCCGTATTCGTGGGCATTGTGTGGGTGTGTAATAGTTGATGACCTAACTAGGCATCAAAGTGACACTGACTATTGTTTGTCGAATTTCAGGTTCTTTTGCAGGGATTCATTGAAGTTTATGCTGATGAATAGAGATGCTGTAAATATCAGGGAGTTGCGGGATGTCAGACTACGAGGATGATGAGAGCGTATCGAGTGAGAGAGATGTAGGTGATGATTGTGCAAATGGTGTTGCCGAGGAAGAAGCCAATGGCCAAGAATTTGGGAGAGATAGATGTGACGAAGGTCTTGCTGATAGTGAAAGCGATCTAGAAGTAGGAGCTGAGAGCGTGAGTGATAAAGAGGAAGAGAAATTCGAAGGAATTTTAGAGAATAGTACCGACGGAAGTTTGGTTGGAGATGTTGAAAGGGACGATCCAGGAAATGAGCACGAAGACTTTCAGGAGGAAGTTGGGCACGCGTTGTTGGCGCCAGTTTATTCCGGTCGTGCAAGAGTAGCGAAAGAAGGAAGTGCAGACATATCGGATGGACCAAATGGCTCGAATTTCGAGGAAGGAGCCAAGTTGGCAACTAACAGACAGGAAGCTTTCAGCGACGATGAACAAGAGGATGTTGGTCAGAAAGGTCTTCAAGTGGAGGTTTTGGAAGGGGACATCGGACATAAAGAAGATGATGATACGAAGGACGTTAGCGAGTTTGAGGGCGATGGCAAAGGTTCCAATGATGATTATCAGGTGAGTGCGTAGGCTGTTGTGTTTTCTTCAGCTCCGCTCTTGGTGCATGAGAACTGCGCGATTGTTGAAGCAAATTTCACTTTGTAGCAAATATTACAACACTGAATACTGAGTTATTGTACTTTCTCCTTGATGGCTAAAATTCTGTAGCGTCATGTACTTAAGTAGCATGTTCTGAATCAATGATGCATTCTCTTCTTAGGTTGAGGAGGACTTTGATGACCTTGATGAAGGTGAAGATGACCTACAAATAGTGTATACCAAGGAGCTTCCCACAAAAAATGCACGGCGCTTTGGAGGTGTAAGGACTAATATTCAATCAGTGCTTCGAAGGCCTCTTGCTAGACCAATCAAGCAGGAAAGGTTTTTAGAACCGGAATCTGAACAGGACGAAGAGGAAGAGGAAGAGGAAGAGGATGATGAAGATCGTGAGTTGTGATTTCTGTAGTTCATGTAATTAAGGGATCATTATTTTGAAAGGATGTGTGTATATGCTATGTCTGAGTGTCTTATGAATAACTAAGTTGTATTTTCAACTTCAGCCAGTCAAATACCCGTTATAGGATGTTGTTCTAGACGTTGAGAGCTTCGTTCTCTTCATATATGTGCGATTTGACTTTACTTCGCAGCTAATAAATGCCTTGCTATTTTACTCCACATTTGACATTACAGCATGTAGATTTTCTTTCAGAGTGCCGTATTGACGTATGATTTTGGATGGGGATTGGTGCATTTGTGTGATGTACAGCTGCAGATGATCCTCAAGACTCAGACTTCGACCCCACGGATGGAGCTTCGAGTCGCGGTGGAATGCATGTGAGTCCCAGCTTACTGGAGTCTTTGTATGCCTTTTGTGTTTAATCCTAGTTTATCACTTAACAATGCCTGTCACATCTGTAATTTCGCATTAATCTTATAACTACTTATCTGGAGTTAGGTCGGAGGATTGTACCTCATTTTATAAATGCCATGCATGAATTGTGTGCTAGAGTTTTATTTATTATTATTTTGTAGGTTAGTTTTGCGTGCACACTACTATTTACCACTTGAACTTTGACAGGCTGCTCACGCAGTTAAAGATAGCGATGCTGAACTTTCTGAGGAAGTTTCAGATGAGAGCTTGAATCTCTCAGATGACAGCTTAGATCTCTCAGATGATAGTGATAATAGCTATGGAAAGAGGAGAGCCTCGCGCAAGCGGAAAACTACTCGAACGTCTCAGGCCAATCGTAACCGAACAAGGGTTTTGCGCACCCAAAGGCTCAGAGTTCAAGGGTCATTGTGTAGCAGCGATAACGAATCCTCTGCGAAAGACAGTGTGGAGGAAGAAAGTGACGAGGATTCAAGCTATGGTCGTCCGCAGCGGAAAACAGTTACTTCAAGTCGTAGAAAACGGCAGGAGACGTCAGGATCAGCCCACGCCTTGAAGAATGATAGAGATCTCTCTGCTAAGGAAGCCCGTACTCGTACATCTAGCCGAGCGCTTCCAAGAAAGTCATACGTAGAAGCTGAGGACAGTCAGGCTTCAGAGGAAGAGCGAGATAAGAAGCGGCTCAAGGTTTGAACTTTCCGTTGCCATAAGTCTCTTCGTTTTTGGTTGGTAGTGCAGTGTAAGTTTTCGTTTCAATCGACATTCTGAGAGAGGTGTTTGTATTCAGAACGTTCCCAGCTGCCTGTATTTCTGTCATATGTTCTTTCGGCTTCTTTGACTAGTTCGCTTGTCTGGTTTTGATTTTTGGAACCTTTTTGGCTGTTTTCCGACTGTTTGAAAGTAAATGATTTTCTTATTCAGTAGCGGGTGAATTTTAGTTGCTATGATTAATTGAAATGTAAATAAGTTATTTTCTGCAGGTGCTTTCTGCCCGTTTTATTATTCATGATTGAGAAAATTTGGGAATTACTTTTAATAATGTGCTTCATTGATTTGATTTTCTGGTGCTCATTGTTTTGAAGGTTAGTCTTGGCGCGTGTTCTATGTTGTTTTCAGGTAGCCGCAGAGGAGATAGAGGAGGAGGAGGACTATGGAGATGCCATTGAAAGAGTTTTATGGCATCAACCTAAAGGTATTGCTGAGGCAGAAGCTGAAGAGGGAAGACATGCAGACCCATTTGTGCTCGATACAGATCCAAATGCCGAACTCACCTGGAAGAATCAGGAATTTTATATAAAATGGAAAGGCCAGTCGTATCTACATTGTAGTTGGATGCCTTTATCGGAGCTTGAACTGGTCAGTGAATATCATGGACTAGTGCACCTTTGTGCTGAGCAGTGTTTGTATTGCTGTTGGTTTTCTTCATGCCATTATTTCGTGATTGGTTAGCTGTTCAAAAGTTTTGTTACTGCACGGTACTCCCATTTATTTTCAATGCTGACCTTTGAATGCCGACAATGTGGTGATGATACATAGCTAAGTGGATACAAGAAGGTGGTTAATTATATGAAGAAGATTGATGAGGACAGACAAGTTCGCCAGACGCTCTCTCCAGAGGAGGTATATTTGTAATTCTCTGTTTTCACTAAGTTTGCTGTTTTTGTTGACACCAAGTTCTGTTTTGTTCTTTTTCTCTTCCTCTAGTTATTGTTGTGTATGAAGTGTTTCATCATTGGGTTCTACCTATCACCACGTATCAATACTATCCCTCCATTATGTGCCGTGAAAGTAGGAGTCTTAGTGCTTGATGACTAAGTTATGTAGTTTACATTATGATTTACTTTTTTTGCAGAATGTCATGTGCACACAAGGTTTCAGACGTTAGGATATTGGTTTTTCCTTCTCAAATTTCTTATTTTGCAGGCAGAGCTACATGATGTCAGCAAGGAGATGGAGTTGGACCTTCTTAAGCAGTACCTTCAGGTACGTTCTAGTAGACAGCACTACCAATGGATTTGGAAGCTTAACAAAATGGGTTAGGAAGTGACCATTAGCAAATTTCATGTAACTTCTGTACTCTAATTATGCCGATTGGGTTCTATAATGCCATTCTATTAACCATCCATGCTAATCAGGAGTTCGTAATTGTATAAACTAAACAAATATGTATTTGGGTGCGTGCATTGACAGGTGGAAAGAGTTTTTGCTGATAGAAATCGGGTGGACAATGAGGAGGAGATAACAGAATATCTGGTCAAGTGGAAAGGACTTTCCTATTGTGATTCAACTTGGTTTGTTTCCAACCCTTCGTTGTGTATGATGCAATATTCTGGTATTCATGAGGTTGCTGTTGATCATCTGTGAGATATTCACATGAAGCCGCCATTTTGTATCTCGTGTAGTACGTTGTATTATTGTTTTGCCCTCCGTTTTTTTGTTTTTTGTTTTTTGTTTTTTTGTTTTTTAGTGGTCACTGGTTATCAATAAATAACTTTTTTTTTTTTGAAATTATTCTTCTGTTTGCAGGGAGAAAGACACAGATATTGCCTTTGCACAATCTCAGATTGATGAATGTAAGGTCAGTTTAGTTTATTTTATAAAGTTATATCTTGTCCCATTTTTTCCATATAAAATCAGTGTGATGGTAAGTTACTCGTACTACACCTTATTGCAACATTTCTCGGCTTCATCATGGATGTTTAAAACTTTGCCACTTGTGGTTATTGTGGCTTATTATGCACTGGTATTGACTGGTCGCATGCTGAACTTTGATGTCAATAATGTACATGTCTAATCATGTGTTTGTTTTATAGATATTCCTGCCCAACTTCATGTGTAATAGGTTCTAGTTATTTTCTATTTATGAAGTTTGTGTTTGTTTGCTTTAGGTTTAGTCCCTTCTTGGAGCCCTATGTGGGTTCTAGATTTTTTCAAACAGATTTTTTTTTTTTTTTGAAAAGGTTCATTCTCTTTCTGTCTATTTGTTTGAAGCCTGTTTAACGTGTCTTACCATGGCGTATTTTTTTCAATTTCATTGTTGACTACATTTAGGAAGGTTAAACTTACTTTACATCTTTTGCAATCTTTATGTCCAACAGGCCCGTGAAGCTGAAACAACTTTTCAAGGAAAGCCTGTAGATGTTCAGAGACGAAAAGGCAAAGGTAGACTTTGCAGAGTCTTTTGGTTTTATTTTTTGTTTGCTGCATTCGTTGTGTCATTGTGAGACTTTGTGGGAAAACGTTAAAGATGATACAAATTTCCATTCGTGGGAAATTTGTATCATCTTTAACATTTTAAGCCTTTCTCTCATTTGCTGTTGCCACAAATGCTAGAGTTTATGCATGTATATCTTGAGCGTTCAATGAGTTGCTCTGAAATGGGTTTGCTTCACGTGATTTATCCGGTCAAATTTCTTGGATGCCAGTGAACATGCGGAAGTTGGAAGAGCAGCCAGAATGGCTGAAAGGTGGAACACTGCGAGACTACCAGTTGGAAGGATTGAATTTTTTGATGAATAGGTACTTCTTAAATTGTCAGATGTCTCAGTGAATAAACTAACGTATTGAATGCTTCGTAACATTGTCACGAAGGCATGTTTACCGTTGCATGCAACCATGATGGGATACATGCTACAGTGGATAGTGATTGTGTTTACAGGAAACAGTATTATGCGTCGCAATGGGCAATGAGGTATCGTTGCGCAATCATGTCGTTTAGAGATTGAGTGTGGATAGGTCTGATATTGATATTATTTCGAACCTTTTGCTGTTGCTTGGGTTGGTTATAGTTGGAGAAACGACACCAATGTTATTCTTGCGGATGAAATGGGTCTTGGCAAGACGGTTCAGTCAGTGTCGATGCTTGGATTTCTTCAGGTGTGGACCTTACCTACTGCTCTCTCTCTCTCTCTCTCTCTCTCTCTCTCTCTCTCTCACACACACACACACACACACACAAATGTATATATAGCACACTTCGATTACTTTTTTCTAATGTACTTGCTATTGAAATGTTTTTAATTTGTTAAATTCATTTGTGACATATTGTGTTCGACCTTCCCAAGTAGGCTGTACTTGAGTTCTGAAGGTGCTCATACACTTAAAAAGGAAAAAGGGCGCATAGGTTGAATTCTGTGTCGAGTGTTGCGCGGATCCCCACAAAAAAACCGTTTTTATCTTGCATAATAAACATGCGTTGACTTAACTCTATCTCTTTCCTTTTCTGGGTTGTGGGCTGTTTCTTGTTGTAGTATGCTCAACAAATTCCTGGACCTTTTCTGGTAGTTGTACCACTCTCCACCATCACCAATTGGGCCAAAGAATTTCGGAAGTGGTTACCTGATATGAATGTAGTTGTTTATGTGGGCAACCGAGCTAGTCGAGAGGTAAGCGTCTTAGATTTGCAGTTTATTTTATTCTTTTTATTTTTCTTTATTTTAAATCAATTTTTGTCCTTTTGCAACTTTGATACGAATGTTTGGCTCAGTGTTTTATATCTTTTGGAGTCTTCAACATGTACGAGCGTTCTTGGTATTTTACTAGTCATGAATGATGTAGCAGCTCTTCTTATAATTTACAATTTGGGGTTAACAAAGTGACCTTATGAGTCTTTTTTATTTGGTTTTGTCGAATTGGTGTACATACTCAAGAAAACTCAACAGAGTGAAAACAATGTCGGAGTTGTTAATAAACTCTGCTAAAATTATATCATGATCAAAATATTTGCGCCAACCCTTGTTAACATTGCATTTACTGATGGAATTTTCACCCATGGCTTACAAAATATTACCCCAGAAGACGTGATCGATTGATCGATCAGGTCATGTTTGAATTGTAATTGCTTATCGGTTGGTGCCTTTTAATTTAAAATCAGCGAATTGAACATTGCAGACATGTCAGCAACATGAGTTTTATACAGGGCGGAAAACTGGGCGTACGATTAAGTTCAATACCCTACTAACCACATACGAGGTTGTGCTGAAAGATAAGGCTGTATTATCAAAGATTAAATGGTGTTATCTGATGGTTGACGAAGCCCATAGGCTGAAAAATTGCGAAGCCTCGTTATATACTACTTTACAAGTACAGTAATTCTAAATCCTTTCATAGCCAACACTATAAAAATGTTTTTATGCTTTTTCGCTTCGTATGTTTTCTGCAGATGTCTGTAATATTGTATGTGTTTGTCATTTCACACGTTATCTTTTCGTAGTGGGTCACTCCGAAGTCGGTCAGGCATGAGTTGCGAACGATGTAGTATCGAAATCATTTATTTATATTTCCAAAAGGATATTAACCATATTTTGTAGTTTTGACATTGCAAATGCTAAGTTGCCTTATCCATTTTAAAATCATCACTTTACCCAACAGGAATTCAGCACCAAAAACAAGGTGCTGGTTACAGGAACTCCGTTGCAGAACAGTGTTGAAGAACTTTGGTATGTAAAGCTAGATTAGTCCCTTTCCTATTTCTATTCAGCTGACCTTGTGACCCCTGCCCAGTAGCAATATCATTGAGGATTCTGCTCGAATGATGTACCTTCATTTCGTACAATGACTTTTTCCACTTCACTGATCTATTGTATCTGATCATGTTATATGTCGTGACGATGGTCTTTGTTGCTCAGGGCGCTTCTTCATTTTCTTGATTCTGACAAATTCAAGAGCAAGGAACATTTTACAGAGCATTATAAGAATTTGAGTTCGTTTGATGAAAAGGAGGTGTGTTATATCTCTTCAGCATTAAAATTGGGTCTACAAGTAAATGAGCTATTAATGCATTTTAATTTAGGATCTAATTTGAGTCTGAGACTTTCTACTTTCGCTTGAGTGTTATTCAATTATTCACATTTGTGACATTCTTCTTTTGTGGCCTGCATTTTTACATGAAAATTGTTAGTTTTCGAGCGCATTGCAAATTGAATGAGTGTTGTGAAGATTTCCCGTGTGGTGGTGGTTATTCATTTTGTACAATGTCGACTTGACTTCATACTTGATTCAGTGAAAACCTGCATTGTGTGCTTAATCTACCTGTTTCTTCTCTGTCGTCAGCTTGCAAATCTCCACGCAGAACTGCGACCTCACTTGCTGCGAAGGATAATAAAAGACGTAGAAAAATCATTGCCACCAAAAATTGAGCGCATATTGAGAGTGGAGATGTCTCCACTTCAGAAGCAGTAAGTTTTGTGCGTGTGTTTTCCATTTAACTTCGCTCTGAGAAAGGGTGAAGGTCCATCGGGAAGAGTTCATCAGTAATATTTATGCGGAGCAGTTGTATATAATCCTTTTTGAGGGTGGAACAATCAGAAGTATGCGTGACATGGATAATATTTTTGTCTATGAAGGTACTACAAATGGATCTTGGAGCGGAACTTCAATGATCTGAATAAGGGTGTCCGTGTTAATCAGGTTACAGTTCTCAGTGTGCTGTACATAAAGCATGAACCAGACCCTTTGTTTTTTGTGGGATGAAAATGTAAAATGTTACAAACGGTGCCTATTTTTCAAGACCTGTTTATTGTCTGGAACGTTTTCAATAATAACAGTGTGGCTATGATTTGAAATCGTCATGTATTCTCTTGCAACCTGCTTTACCCTTGTGTTTTTTACGAGCTCAAATTAAGTCATATTGCAGTTGTGTGTTTCATTGCCCAGGTTTCCTTATTGAACATAGTCGTGGAGCTCAAGAAGTGCTGTAATCATCCATTCCTGTTTGAAAGTGCCGACTATGGCTATGGTGGAGATGCAAACACAAACGACAACAACAAAATCCAGCGTATTGTTCTCAGTAGCGGGAAGCTTGCCATTCTCGACAAATTGTTGGTACGCCTGAAAGAGACAAAGCATCGTGTTCTTATCTTCTCACAGGTGCTGTGACTCTCACTGCATAATGTAGTCGGTGGCATGTTTCTATCAGAATCTGCTGATAGTTCTGCTTGCTGTCAACTTTGTTGAGGATGTTGAAGCACTGTCCATATTTCCTGTGCTTCGTTATCAGCTTATTTTTTCACAGAACCGATGTTTTTCTGTTTCAGATGGTGAAAATGTTAGATATCTTGGCGGATTACCTAAGCTTGCGAGGGTTTCAATTTCAGCGTCTAGATGGTAGTACACGAGCAGACCTCAGGCATCAAGCTATGGAGCACTTTAATGCCCCTGGAAGTGAGGACTTCTGTTTCTTACTATCTACCCGTGCTGGTGGTTTGGGAATTAATCTTGCTACCGCAGACACTGTCATTATATTTGACTCGGATTGGAATCCCCAGAATGATTTACAGGTTTGCCCCCTTAAAATGTTACCTTCCTAAGTTAAGTACATGAAGTATTGATATACTGTATGCGTTAAGTAGATGTTGGGAGAATTTTGTTGCAAACTGTTGTTGCAGCTCTTTTGCCGCGGGCTTGAACGTTTTGTTACGAAACAAGTGCATGTGCTGAGAGGTTTGTTTCCTGCAGGCCATGAGTAGAGCCCATCGAATTGGGCAGCGGGACGTTGTGAATATATATCGTTTTGTAATTAGTAGGAGTGTTGAAGAGGACATTCTTGAGCGGGCGAAGAAGAAGATGGCAAGTTCGAAGCTCATTTTAATGCCGGAATTCCTCTGTGTCGTACTAATTGGAAAATATAGTAATTTTTTTCTTGATGTTCTTTAAAGATTCAAGTTAGTACCAGTGATTTTGTTGGTTACTGTGATTAGTTTGTCCAAATATCGAGATTTGGAATTTGTTGCATATTCACCTTCTGGATTGAAACTTCGGTTGGAGATTGCTTTTCTTCCTCAGACTATTATTTATCCAATTCCTGCTGTATAAAATCTATGGTCTACGTTATTCCTGATTTTTTTGGCAACACATGGTGGAAATTTGAGCACCTTGTCATCCCTATTGATTTTCGTTTTCATGTGTGTGCTTTGGATTAGGTTTTGGATCACCTGGTAATTCAGAAGCTCAATGCACAAGGCAGACTGGAAAAGAAAGAGGCGAAGAAGGGGACAGGATTTGACAAAGTAATTTATGCACTAACTATGCTCTTCGCCAGCATGCTTTTTGTACCCTTACTATTGCACAACATTGATAAGTAGAAGACTGTGGCTAAATACAATTTCACTAGCGGTGCAGACTTACTCATTTCTTGAGAACAAGGCAGTTCTTTATAAGTACTGCTTGAAGTGCTATTATTTTCTGGTGAAATTCTTGATTTGCCAAATGAGATTTTGTTTATAGCTGTCTCCAATGCTACTTACAGAATGAGCTCGCTGCCATTTTGCGATTTGGAGCTGAGGAGTTGTTTAAAGATGACAAGAATGAGGAAGATCAGAAGAGCAAGCTTGAGAATATGGACATTGATGAGATTTTGGCTCGGGCTGAGAAAGTTGAGACCAAATCTGCTACTGAAGTGGATGCGGAGGGCAATGAGCTCCTAGGTGCATTCAAGGTACTGATTAGCCACGTTTCCTAACCATTTTATTTGAATTAGTTGTCCAGGTTCATTCTTTTGCTAATACCGTTAATTTTTGAATATTTCCATTCAAAGTATCTGTAAGATTGTCGGTGGATCATACTCATCACAGAAATTTCAAGATGAATCAGTGCTTCATATGCCTGTTCTTCGTGTCACCTCTGATTCGTGATTATGAGTTGTTCTAGGTTGCGAATTTTAGCAATACAGAAGATGACGCCACTTTCTGGAGCCGATTGATTCCTCCAGAGGCAGCTAGGCAAGCAGAAGTACGGTTCAAAACTCTTATGCTATTCTTGTTGTTGGCCTCCTGTACTATGCTTAGTAATCTATCTTTATGTCACAAATTAAACAGGCTGTAAAGCCTTGTTTCACGTTCAGGCTTTTCCCGTACAGGACATGTCAGGACCACGTGTGGCAAGGACTATTCGGAATTATTCTGAAGATTTGGGGTCTGAAAGGAATGACAAACGACGTCGAGGTGATGGAAAGGAGAAATTGCCCAAGCGTGGATCCAGATCTAGTAAAGAATATGTGCCTCCGTCTGAAATAGAGGGAGCTGCTGCCCGTACTGCGAAGTGGGGGGGTGGGGTTCTGACAAAGAAAGAAGCCAACTCGTTCATCAAAGCGGTATGTTCACAAGATTTCTTGTTAAGTACCTTCCATTGAATGCCACGGTGGGTAGAGCTTTGAAAGTGTTAAAGCGGGACGAAATGGAAGTTTTGTTTCTTAAAGTTGATTTATTGATTTTGTTACTGAAGAATCTTGTGGTGATGCTTGTCCAGGTCAAAAAGTTTGGGGATTTGAGTAGGATCAAGCTCATTGCTAAGGAGGCAGGAGATCCGGTGTCAGAAACATCCACTAGTTTACAATCTGAGCTATGGGATGCACTTGTTAATGGTTGTAAAGATGCTGTGCGTAGGGCAGGAGTTGATTGTAAGGTATTCATGATCAGAATCTTGTGAATATATTTCAAGTCTACTTCTGCTTTGATAGTAACATATTTTCTTCAGGTGTCTTTTGGGGTGTTGACGACTGCGTTAGCTCGAGTCTGGTAGAACATCGTTCACATGTTCAAATCTGTTCATAATTATTCTTTCCTCTTTGAGAACTGCACCCTGAAATCATATTTTGGTGCTGCTGTGCAGGCAGCTGTTCTGGACTTTTTTGGGGTACCTGTCAAATCACAAGATATGCTTGGGAGAATCAATGAGTTGACTTTGCTAGGAAGACGTATAAAGCGTTTTAAAGATCCTGTTGCTCAGTTTAGGCTTAAGTCTCATCCCAGAGTACCTTCCTGGTCAAAAGTGTGTGACTGGAGTCAAGGTATAATTGCGTTCGGATACCTTAGTATGGTTAGCATCCTTGAATTCCTGATTGGTTTTTGGGAATGCTGCAACTCTTAATTTGCTGAAACTGGATGAACTCCTGCATAAATGGTCGGTGTAATACTTACGTGTTTTCATTGTTTTTGCCACCTTTTGGTGCTTGCCATTTCACTTACAGCTCGTGAAAAAGTTGTCTCTTGAGCCGCGGAAGCACTGGTATGCTAACCTAATGATCGTTGTTATGTCCATAGTTGATGATGCAAGACTATTGCTGGGTGTCCACTATCATGGACTTGGAAACTGGGAGAGGATAAGACTAGATGAGAGACTCTTGTTGGTCGACAAATTGGCTCCGCAAGGGGCTACTTCTGCTGATACGTCCTTGCCTCGATCTACGCATCTTGAAGCTCGGGTGAATGCACTTTTGCGAAAGGTATGGCCGTCTTGGTATGAGAAATTTCATGCGTAAAATATGTCTATCATTGCCACTGAGATTGATAATTATTAGTGAAGCCAGCACAATATACACTTTGTAATACTGGTGGAATTTCCTGGAACTTCAACTACCTAAAGGAACTCAACGGTATTTTTGTGCTGAAGTTATAGTGATTGACCTTTGTTGTGGCTTGCAGGAACTTGAGGTTTCTGGTGTGATAAATGGGAATGATGAGGCCGAAAGGCCACTGGGTGGAAAGGGAGTGTACAAACGTGATTGGTTAGATGATAGTGCAAAAGATAGGTCTGCGAAGCTAGATATAGGGTTGGGAAGGAAAGGTTCTGGAGGGTCAGGCTCACAGAAACTTAATGCAAGGGACCGAGCAGCAAAGCGCTTAAGAGCAGAACAAGATGTCAAAGAGGAAGGTGAAATATCCGATACCGATGAAGGTGGCGTACAACCATCGCGTGGACGGGGAAAAAATAAAGATAATATGGGTAGGCAATCGAAAGAAGAAAAGTGGCATCACTGGTGTGCTCAAATGATGGAAGATCAGACTCGTACACTCGAGAGGCTACAAAGACTCCAAACGGATTTTAGTTTACCCAAAGAAGAGGTTTGTCTCCTGCAATTTCTATATTCGTATTCGTGGAATAAACTTTTGATCATTTATTCGAATGGTAATGCATTTCGGAGTCATTAAGTGCATCACTAATTGGGGCCGCTGTGAAATTAAACATCAGGATAAACTTCGTTCACAACATTTTCAACGGGTGTTAATGTTGGACGATTGCAGTTTGTGGGGAAAAATAAATCAATTTTTTTGTCCCTGTTTAAGATTATCCGAGAGTATCCTGAGAAATATCTATTTTTCATCTTTGACCTAACCCTCTGTTGTATTCATCTGACCCAGGTTCTCCGAAGAGTGAAGACGTATTTGCAGACTCTGGGTCACAAGATTGATAGTATCTTAGCTGAAAATGCAACTGCTCCTAATCCAGATAGTAAGCCGTTCTATTTTTATTTTCGTTATTTGTTACTTAATATTCTTTTTGATGAACCAAAGCTTCTCGATTTGTTGGAGGCCTCTTGTTGGGTTTATACAGAAATCAGAAATAACCTGAGTGTCTTTTAGGACTATGGTGATGTTTGTTTTGAGTTTCAACTCTAACCTTGCAGACCTTATCTAGTTTTTGTTTATTTTCCTTCTTTCTATATGCACTGTTCTATCCTCAAAATTTGTCACATCTGTTGCAGGAATGGCCACCAGACTTTGGAATTATGTCTCAACGTTTTCGAATCTAAAAGGGGATAAACTAGCTGAAATATATAAGAAATTACGACTAGAACCTCAACCTGGACATGCTAGAGGGATATCCCAGGATCCCAATCACGGTGCAGCTGGTCCCAGTGGAAGGGATGAGCACAGCCACGTGACCACCGATAGAAAACAAAACCAAGTAGGAAATACTGTTGCGGAGCCCAGTCAAGGGGATTCTGAACCCTGGAAGCGACGGCAGAAAGATGACCCATCAGGAGGTCCTCCTGCTGCGTCCCACAATAAATCTGATCGTCGAAAGTGGGAAGGCAGACCTGGAAGTGCTGACGGTTGTAGGAGCAAAGCCTCGCCGCCTGTTGGTGTTGTTAACGGTAGCGGATGTAGTCACGATGAGGATCCTAGAGAAGATAGGGGCCCGTGGGAGCCACATGGCCGGAGTCGGAATTGGAATAGGAGAGATGAGAACCGGAATCCAAGACCTCACCCCAGGCCAGCAGGGCCATATGGGCATGCGCCCCCGGCTTTCACACATTGAGAAGGGGTGGTAAATCACCCTGTCTACATTTTTCTTTCAATGAAATAAGAATTGTTAAGCTATCAATGAGCCCACATCTGCAACGACATACGTCGTTTTAGTCGAGGAACCAAGCCGAGTAGTCTTGTTTGCAAATTGCTTACTTAATTCAGTGTTAAATATCCTGCCATTTTACTTGAAGCCAAATGATAAATTGGGTTCCTCTGGTGTGACATTCCTGTTATGACTCGTTCTGTCTTGGACACAAAGACCGTGATCTTAAATGATTGATTTACTTATCTGGTAGATGTAGAGTGTAGAAATTTACATTCATACTGAGTTCTTATCAGGTCTTGAAGGAAAGAGGTTCCTAGTAATAGCCACCTAGGTAGCATAAGTGGCGGCCAGAAGTTGCCCTTGTGGTTAAGGCACGCTGCAGTGCACTCCACAAATAATGGAATTACAACATTCCTCCAGCACTTCTAGGTATTTATCACCTAGCATACTTTAATAGATTGTGCAATTCTTCAAGTATTAAAGCAATTTCACAATGAATTCCATGATAAATATACAAAATTTTAATGATACTTGAAAGAAAGAAATCACTCAAAATAGCTCTCTTTTTTCTTGTAGGTATTTGTGAGGGGTAATATAACTTATATAAGTTGCAAATGCCATTAAAATTAAAGAATGCCATGCAACTTAGGAACATTAGAATTTACTTTTGAAAACGAACCTAACAAAATAGTGAAACCAAATCATGTATGTGTGTATATATATATATATATATATATATATTAGAATATTTGATGATTATTACTGAAATTAATGAGGATATAATGGAGCTAAATAAATTTAAATCAAATAGAATTAAAATTCTACTACATACATGCACAATAGAAAATAAGATTCTCTTTGGATTTAATTAGCTTGTTAGTTTATAAGATGTATAATAGTATGATTTAAATGTCATCATGAGAATTAGTTATGTTTTAAAAAAATACATTATATTAAAGATCAAATTTCTATCTCAGTAATATTTAAAATATTTAATATATATTATTACATAAAGAAATAATATAAAAAAATCAAGAATAATTTGTACATTTATTTAGTACAATAAATTAGAATACAATTTTTTTGAAATTATAAGGTCAATATAATGTAGTTTAGTGAAAATTATCCATTAATCTAAATTAATAAAAATTAATATAATGGTTTATATATAGCTTTATATTCATGGAATTAAAACAAAATTAAGATAGTTTTTGTTAATTTTATGCCAAATTTTCATAAACTATAAAATATAATGATAAACAAATATATTGAACATATATATATATATATATATATATATATATATATATATATATATATATAATTTAGTTTTTAAAAAATATTTATGTGACATAAAAATATAAATTGATAATTTTTTAAAATTATAAATTATAATTTTTTCTAGAAGATTTTGCAAAAATATTATTTTAGAATTTTAGAATGTTCTTTAGGTTTTACAACCTTCCTTCTCTCTCTTCATACACCTTCTAGAAGCATATATAGATTGAAGTTGCTTTTGTATAGATAAAAAAGTAATGTAAAGAATACTTGAAGTTTGTCATCATAAGTTTTAAAACAATGAATACTTTATTTTGTTTCTAATATAGTATTTAATCATGTTTCTAATCAATAATCATGTTTTTCTTGTACTTCTTGTTAATTTGGTTTCTTGTCTTTGAATCCTTTTGATTTAGCAAGACCACATTAATTTATTAAATTCTTAAATTTTTCTTAAAACATGTAAATTATCTAGCTTCTTAAAAGATACTATAGCTTCTTAAAGATTACAAATTATTCACTATTTTTTTTGTTTTTTTTTTTTTGTTTTTTATAATTTAGTCTTTTATAAGAATATCTAATTATTTTATTATTTATATTTAAAAATTATTTTTCTTAAGACGTAGTTAGTAAAGACCTTTAAAAAGATATTTTTATAAGACCTTTTTAGAAAAGAAGTAGATTAAATTATTTTAAAATAATATATAATTTTTAAGAAGAAAAATTACTCTTGCTTTAATAAAAATTTCTAATAAAATTAAATATTTTTGTATAAAATTATTGCTAGGTTTTTAAAAAATATATATATAAATAAATAAATTTATTCTTAAAAACTTACATATGAATTAAGTAATTTCCAATTTGATATTGCTTGATTACAAAATCTTAAAGATGTTATACAAAGTTTATAATTAAATAATCAATAAATTATAATAGATTAAAAAAATTATTAAAAAAAGTTTTAAATTTTAATAATTGAATCTAATAATAATATGTCTAAAAATTCAATGAAATAAAGATTTAATTTTATAGATTTTTACAATAAGTAAGATTAAACTTAAATTTTTATCTTTTAATCTTACCATAAATACACAATGGAAGAAGATTCTAGAAGGTTCTTAAAGGATCTACAATGTTTCTAGTGATTTTGACAAGTCCATAATAGATTTTAGTAGATTCTAAGAAGCTTCTAAATGTTGAAGATCAGCAAGTACTTGCTTAGTTACAACCACATAGAGATTAAGCATAGTATGTTGCTAATAGTAAAAAAGCAGCAAAGAATTAAAGTAAGTTATTATAGTGGCATCAAGGAATTAGTTGGATGAGGTAGAAATAGATGTAATATCAAAAGGATGGAAGTTGCCTTGCTAGTGAGTAAACCACCACTTATAAGTAAAGAGTGTTGGAAGTAAGAATAATCTTTCTCCACACTTCTCTTAGACTATAATCCTTGCTGATGCTAAGTGTTTGTAGCTTTTAGACTTCTTTTCTTCAATACTAAAGGTCCTAAAAAGATCAAAAGATTTTTTGATGATCAAAGAAGGTTCTTGGAGTCTTGTTTTATCTCCAAGCACTGTGGAAACTTCTTAAGGAACTTCTTTTTAACTAGTATATATAAGAATCAAGGCTAAGGAGAATTTTAGTCTTGAGAATGGAATTCTTGTGGCTCATCTTGAGCCTTCTAGTCTTGGTCTTATGGCTTGTCATAGCTCCTTGTTTTTAATATAAAGTCAATATTTCTTGTTTTATTTTCTTGAACTCTTGAATTCTTGTCCTATCTAAGTGGTGTGTTTATAAAATTTTATTGAGATTGACATAATGTGAGAGTTATGATTGTTCTAAATAGAAAGTCAATTACCTATACTTTAGAAAATTCTATAGTATTTTAGAGGTTTTAGATTACCTTATTTTTAACTAATATTATTCTTGATTTTTTGTATTTGTTTTTTCTTGCTCCACTTCTATAGAAAAAAGTAACAACTTTAATATAATAAATTCTAAAGAAGCTAAATTAGATTTGATTTTAAAATCTTTTGAAGTATTAAGAATAATGACAAAAAACTTGTGTAAGAAAAATGAAGAATTATATAATAATCAAAGAGAAAAACAACCTTTACCATTATTATAAGTTACCTTGGAAACTCATCATCAAGTTCTACTTTGCTTATAGATGTATGTATTTAAGACAAAAATTCAATGTCAATAATAAAAGATTTAGAATTAATCTCTTAAAAAGGTTTAATATAACTTATTCAAAAGTTTTATAGCTTAATAAATAAAGTTTGATTTATTACTTTGTTTTATATTGAATAATATTCCACAAAAGTATCTTGTATTGATTTAATTGAAACTTTTCTTTTAAGTGAAGCTTTGTCTTGTTTTTCTCCATTGTTTAAAAAACAATCTTCTATATTATATAACTTTGAGGCATTTTTGGCAATATTTGAAGAATCATTTGGTAAAAATGAAAAAAAAATGTCACAGTTACTAACAAATATTCCAATTAAAATTTAAAATCTTTGAAAAAAATATATTTTATATTAATTTATATTTTATTTTTTAAAAATTAATATATGATATAAATTAAAAATTACAGACTTCATTTCAATCATGTTATATATTAGTAGATTTAAAAATTTAACAAAAATTAAATTTAAAAATTAAATAATTAATATTTAAGCTATTTTAAAGCTTCAATTAGAAAAGACTTAAGTATGCTTTAAAGAATCAATTAACATACAAAGGAAAGGGCTACCTTTACTTTAAGTTGGCAACAAAGTATGATTATTGTAGCATATTATAAAGACTGTATGATCATCTGATAAGTTGGATTACTAAAAAATATGATTGTTTCCTATTCAAAAGCAAGTGTATTTTCTTGCTTTTCAATAAAAACTACAAGTATTTATAAAGATACAACTTATTTTTCATACTTTTCTTATAGAAACTTGTAAAGAATTAAGTATATCAAGAAGATTAGAATTGCCACCATCTTATGATGAAGTAAAAAACTATTAAGAATTTGAGATAGAAGAAGTATTTGATTTGAGATTAAGATAAGAAGTGCTATAGTATTCTATACATTGGTGTAGTTATAATATTATTAAGCATGTCACAAGAAATACAAGAATTTCATTAACAACATCCTTATAAATTTAAAGTGACAATATGTGTTAAGTAATACTTTTATTTGATATACCAAAATATAGTATGATATCATATGATACATCTTTGATTTTTTTTGGCTTTTGAAAACTTTAATTCTATCTCTCTTCATAAAACTTGTAACTAAAGGAAGATGTGATGTCATAAATATATAATAGAAAACAATTCTAAAAGGTTCTAAAATTTTTAAAAAGATTTTTAATAATTTTAAAAAATTCCAAATATATTTAAATAGATTCTAAGAAGCTTCTAAAAAGTTTTAGAATATTTTAAGAGATTTTAGATGGTTATAGGAGATTCTAAGAGATTTGCTTCATCTTTAAAGAAACAAAGAAATATTTAAGAGTATACTAAAAATTCCAAGAAACAAGAAGAGGATTACTACAAGGATGGTAGAAATGGCAGATATAAAGTTTTTTGGCCTTAAAACAAAAATATAAATGTAGTGTCATGTGATAATATGATTATATGGTGAAAAAAAAATATGAATGTTATTATAGAGGAGCTTTGTAGAAAGATGTAGTAAAAAAATAATGATAAATTATAAAAAAATAGTATAAATTTTAGATTTAATATTGTCTTTGATAGAAAGAACTTCTATTTACTTTATAGAGGCATAAATGAGTCAAATCAAAGTAAATGAGATAAGAAATTGATATAGAAATGTTTAAAAAAAATTAAAAATAGGATAAAGTAAAACT